AGATCCTCAGGTGATGCTGATGCTCATTTAAACTACAGTTTCCATTTTAAACTAACTTACATTTTACAGATAACTAACCTACCGTTTCCATTTTAAACACATTTATTTGTAAAGAAAGAGTGAATTGGTTTAAATAAAAATAGCATGAATGAGTATTAAGATAGTGTGAAAAACTATGTCGGTCGGTGGTCCAAGAACATTTGAGAAACACTTAAATACAGTATTTTTGCTAATGAAACTAAGACATAGTGTTTCAGCCAAGAGACCAGTAAGTATCACAGAAGCCATTCACTGGATTGAGAGGGGACAAATCATGTGAGGGACTGTGGCTATAGCCTTGGCCAGCAGCTTTACACCAGACCTGCCCACCAAGGCTTTGAAACTTGCCTCCATTCTTTCCCTGGCTCTTCCCCATGGAGTGATGGTAAATGTTTCACAGCTGCTTTCTGGGTGAAATATATGTCTATGTATATATGTGCCAATCAAATTCACAGTACTACTTAAGGGTAATGTAACAATTTCCGTTGATTTTTTTTATATATAATTTTAGAGGTAACACAAATTTTAAGACAAAATACTTTGCTATTTCAATTACACCTATAACTTCAGCATGACTTGCTATTTCTTGGAAAATTCACCAACCATTTTTTTATAATTCTATCATCAACAATAGTATCACAAAATCAGACTACAAAAAATGCTTGATTACTAATTTCCGATTAAGCAAAAAGTCACTCACTTATTTGTTACCGGTGGCAAATCTGTAGGGGGTCTGCAGCAACCTCAATTCTTGCCTCCTCAGAAGAAAGAATTCGACTGAGGGGCATAAAGCAGAAGAGACTGAGGCAAGTTTTAGAACAGGTGTGAAAGTTTATTTAAAAACTCTAGAGCAGAGACTGGGCACGGTGGCTCACACCTGTAATCCCAGCACTTTGGGAAGCTGAAGCCGGAGGATCACCTGAGTTAAGGAGTTCGAGGCCAGCCTGGCCAACATGGAGAAACCCCTTCTCTACTAAAAATACAAAAATCAGCCAGGTGCGGCAGGCACCTGTAATCTCAGCTACTCAGGAGGCTGAGGCAGGAGAATCGCTTAAACCTGGGAGGCGGAGGTTGCAGTGAGCTGAGATCACACCATCCCACTCCAGCCTGGGGGACAAGAGCAAGACTTCGTCTCAAAACAAAACAAAACAAAAAACTCTAGAGCAGAAACCAAAGGAAGGAAATACACTTGGAAGAGGGCCCAGCAGGCAACTTGAAAGACAAGTGTGCGGTTTGACCTTTTGACTTGGGGATTTGTACATTGGCATGCTTCTGGGATCTTGTGTCCCTTCTCCCCTGATTCCTCCCTTGGGGTGGGGTGTCCGCATGTGCAATGGCCTGCTAGCACTTTGGAGGGGAGCATGCGCAGTGTGTTTACTGGAGTTGTACACATGCTCATTTGAGGCATTCTTCTCTTACCAGTTGAATGCCCCTAGGAGGTCATATACCAGTTTAACTCTGCCATTTTGCCTCTTAGTGTGCATGCTTGAGCTCACTTGCCTAGCTCCTGAGATCTTATCAGGAAGTTGCTGAACACCAGTTTCAGGTTTTTTTCTATCTTTAGGGAGACTGCTTTTCCCTGCCAGCTGTGACAAGTTACTATTTTAGAGAGACAGTTAACAACCACCTGACCATCACCTGATGGTCGCCTGACATTCTTAGTTGGTTGCGGGGGTGCCTCTCCTGCCCTGTTCATGTCTGACTGGCTACCTATTAGCCACCTATGTTACAGTTACCAGTAATAATATAATTTTTCTTTCCCCCGAGACGGAGTCTCGCTCTGTTGCCCAGGCTGGAGTGCAGTGGCCCGATCTCAGCTCACCGCAACCTCCACCTCCCAGGTTCACGCCATTCTCTTGCCTCAGCCTCCTGAGTATCTGGTACCACAGGCGCCTGCCACCACACCCAGCTAATTTTTTGTATTTTTAGTAGAGACGGGGTTTCACCGTGTTAGCCAGGATGGTCTCGATCTCCTGACCTCGTGATCCGCCCGCCTCAGCCTCCCAAAGTGCTAGGATTACAGGCGTGAGCCACCGCGCCCGGCCAGTAACAATATAATTTAATTTCTAATGATGGCTGTGTTTAGCCGTCAGCTTACAACATTCCTGGAAATTTAAAAATCAGCTCCTGTGAGCTGTCAGGAGCCAGTTCTAGTTCACTACTGCTCCCCGCTACCCTCTGTAGCTACATTGCCTGACTCCATTTGCCTTCCAGGATGCCCCACCTCCTGCCTCGACCCACCTACACAGCCCATGTGACCAGGACCCCAACCCCAAACAGGGGAGAAAAACTGGGGTACTGATCTTAAGAATTTGGAATATAAGGAGTATACTTCAGAATGATCCACCTGAGTTTGGGGGAAGATACCTCCAATTTTAGGGATCTTAAACTGGTAGATTGGTGGAGATGACAGCATTAAATACTGGTTGAGAGCACGTTTCTGGGTCTGCTGCTGGGCTTGAATCCTGTTTCTGTCTCTCATTGGCCATATAATCTTCAGCAAACAACTCAATCTCCCTGTGCCTCAGTTTCCTATGAGGATAATAATGACATCTGCTTCATAGGGTTGTAAAGATTAAATTAGATAATCGATTAAAACTTTTAACATAACACAGTGCTTGGCACAGAGTAAGTGCCTAATATATATTCGTTATTAGTAGTAGTATTTATTACTATTTAACTGTTGCTAAATATTTAACTCTTCATAGTAACATTTAACTATTACCATTTTGTTATTTAACTATTAAATAATAAAAGTGGCTTGTTGGCTACTATTACTTTTTACATTTGGAAAATATATACAGCCAGTGTTTTCATGCTTTTAGGGTTCTAAAGGCTTCAGCATTCTTAATCTGCTGGAAGCCTCATAGTGACCACAGGACAGAGTCATTATATGATTATGAGTATGATTCTCCATTCATTGTGGTCTGTGTTCCGTGGGCAAAACTGAGACTCTGAGAGGCTGAATGATGGCCTAGGGCCACAAGCTGTTGGCTAACCAGTCAGAGCTGGGTCCAAGGCTTCTGTTCTCCTTCAGCTGCTTCAAAGCCTTTAATGGTCATTCTATGGGCTCTGTAAAGACTTCAAACAGTAAGAATTGGAGGTGCTACTACTGAGCTATGAGCCTCTTGACTTGGGGTTTCTTTTTTTTTTTTTTTTTTTTTGAGACAGAGTCTCACTGTCACCCAGGCTGGAGTGCAGTGGTGCCATCTCGGCTCACTGCAACCTCTGCCTCCTGGGTTCAAGAATTCTCTGTCTCAGCCTCCCGAGTAGCTGGGACTACAGGCTCATGCTACCACACCCGGCTGATTTTTGTATTTTTAGTAGGGATGGGTTTTCAACATATTTGTCAGTCTGGTCTCGAACTCCTGACCTCAGGTGATCCACCCACCTCGGCCTCCCAAAGTGCTGGGATTACAGGCGTGAGCCACTGTACTCCGCCTTGACTTGGGGTTTCTAGCCAGTTCATTAGATTGGATTATCTTTGGATTATTCTGTAAATAAATATTCATATGTGGTAAAAATGGTAATTCCAGAAAACCGTAAGCTAGGAAAGTAGAGTTTTTTCCCTCCTGCATTCTTGGCTAGGAGGCGTTCCATCAGACTGCATCAAAGAAACTGGGGATGATCTCCTATTTTTCATGTTTTCCCCAGAAAAGAGGAGTAACAATGACCTGCTCCCCTGAATATATAGGAAGGGATCTGACTCTGTCCATCCTGCTCTGGGGAGAAGGTTAAAAGCACAGAGCTTCCCTTTGTCTGGGTCGCAGTTGTGGCTAGACATGTGGTTTTTACAAGGAAACAGGGACTGTCAGATTGACAGAGATCAAGTTGGATAACTCCTTGTTGGAGGGAGGTACGGGACAACTGGCACTGTCTTACAATGCTGAAACGGATTTCAAGTTTTCCGAAGGGAAATTTGCCACTATTCACCAAAATTAAAAATATATACCCTTTCTAATCAGCAGTTCTACTACAAGAACTACTTTCTCAAAGACATGCTCTTGTATGAAAAATAAGGGATCTAAGCTGTTTCTTTGCACCATTGTTTGTAATAGGCAAAGAAAGACTAAAAACAATCTGAGTGTCCACCAGCAGAGACTTCTAAATAAATTGCAGCCCTTCCAAACAAGACAACGCTGTGCAGCTGCTAAAAAGAATGTACTCGATTTCTATTAGGTTGGTGCAAAATTAATTGCCGTCTCAGCCATTGAAAGTAGTGGCAAAAACTGCAATCACTTGCAAAAAACTAATATATACTGATACAGAATGATTTCTAAGATATATTAAGTACCAAAGCAAGAGGGGATAATACATATTTATAAACATATAAACTATTTCTGGAAAAAGGAATAAGAAACTAGAAACAAGAGAACTGGGTAATTAGGATATGGGAGAAAAGGAGACTTTCTATATAGTCTGTAGGAAATCTTTTGAATTGTATTTCATTTGCACGCATCATATGTTCAAAATAAATACATTTTTGTATACAAGTTGGTGAAGGGACCTGTTTTAAAAAAAAAGATGTTTCCAGCTAGGCGCGGTGGCTCATGCCTGTGATCCTAGCACTTTGGGAGGCCAAGGCGGGCGGATTACCTGAGGTCAGGAGTTCAGGACCACCCTGGCCAACATGGTGAAACCTGTCTCTACTAAAAATATATATATATATATAAATTAGCCAGGCATGGTGGCAGGCACCTGTAATCCCAGCTACTCGAGGCTGGAGAATTGCTTGAACCCAGGAGGAGGAAGTTGCGGTGAGCTGAGATCGCACCACTGCACTCCAGCCTGGGCTGCAGAGCGAGACTTCATCTCAAAAAAAAAAAAAAAAAGATGTTTCCATGTGACAGCCGTGTTTCCTCTGGTTTGAGGCAGTGGAGTGGTGATTAGAAAGGCTGGGAAGGAAGGACGGGCTCAGCTCCTGATCTTCCCCGCTCATACTGAGACCTGACTCTCCACAGCAACAGGCGGAGGTGGCCCACATGTCCCAGACCCAGGAAGAGAAGCTGGCAGCTGCCCTCAGGGTGGAGTTACACAACACTTCGTGCCAAGTCCAGAGCCTCCAGGCTGAGACAGAATCCTTACGTGCCCTGGTAAGTGGGCCAAGGAAAGACCTGGCATCCCTGTGCTAATTTTAACTCTCTACTGTCAAATTCCAGTATTATGGACCATAGTTCCCAGGGGATTCCCATCTCACAGCATGAGTTTTGAGGCCTGAAATGTCTTCTGACTCTCAAGGATCATCAGATACTGAATCACAGTACGTGCAATAGACGCTGTAGTGCCCCCCTGAAATCTCTCTTACCAGGCTGCTGCTGTAAATGTTGGCTGTTAACATCCACAGCCGCCCCTTTTCAGCTGCCCCACTGCTCCAGAGACCTGCCCTTACCCACACTGAGGACACCTGGCCCAGGAAGTTAGGCCCTGCCCCCCCAGCCCTCAGCTCTGACTGAGAGGGGTTTTAAAAGCCCAGCCCTCTTGCTTCAACATGGAACTAGCTCCATTCTGTAGAGCTCTCCATAGGACCAGGCTGTAGCCGGATTCCGGAGACCACATCCTCGCTTAGTGCCTTCCCCTGCCCTGTCCTGCTTTCCTCACTCCCCCTTTTCCTGAGAGTACTCCTTAATGATTTGCGAGTTCCAGGATCCCTAACTCAGGCTCTGCTTCTGGAGAACCCAACCTGAGACATCTAGTAAGCTCTCAGACTCACTGTGATTTGCAAGCACATCTCTTTCATCATTAATTATTATGGATTAAAATATTGTTAAAATAATCAATAAAATGTATTCATGATGAAGCAATCCACCCTCTGACCTCTGGGATGGACTGAAGTTCTATTTGGGTGTTAAACACAGCTCTTCTTAGATGTCCCCTCCAGGAGGTCATTTGCACTATTCTAACTACAGCTTTGTTGGTGCAAATCAAAGGTTGGCCCATGTAATCCTTGTGCAGCTGAGATGGCCTGGAGTCAATGAGGCGCATGATAGGATGTAGGTCAGCGTAAGCATGTAGGAGAAAAAGATCTGGGGATCTGAGGGGAGGAAAATCAAGAGTAATAAGAGTCAGAAGGGCTCAGCTCCTCCATTTATCCCTTGGGTAAATAGGCAAATCCCTGAACCACAGTTTACTCTTCTGCAAAATGGGTATGACAGTCACAGCCCAGCCCACTTCTCAGTGATTCTAGGAGGATCCAAGGTGTGGATGCACATGAGCACGCTCTTCTGACTTTTAGCATTACTTTGAGAACTCGCTAGTTCCTGGAACTGTGCCAAGTGCTTTGGGAACATAAAACGAATGAGATATGGTCCCTGCCTCCAAGGAGTTAATGTGGCTTCCGGGGAGGAGCTGATAGAAATGTGAGGGCGTGGCAGCTGGGAGACAGCACCCCTGCTGTGGGTGTCAGGGAGTCAGGGGGTAGACTTCGTGGTGGGTGCTCTACTCACTCACTAGCTGTGTGACTGAGCAGAGCTTTCATTTTCTCACTTGTAAAGTGAGGATCTATTTTGACTGTCATATCTTTTACTGTCTCAGTAGCTTAAAACAACAGTGAATCACTTCTTCTCTCATTCTGTGATTTAGGCAGAGTTCAGCAGGGATAACTCTTCTCTGTATCATGTGGCCTCTGCTGGGGCTGGACACCCAAAAATGACTTCTTCACTTAGCTTGTCTGGTGACTCCATTGTGCATCTCCTTTCTCTCTCCCTGTGACCGCTCCATGTAGCCGGCTTAGACCTCCTCATACCATGACAGCCTGACATAGTCAAACTTCTGATATAGCACCTGAGTGAGCACAGAAGCTACCAGGCCTCTTAACACCTGGGCTTGAAAGTCTCTGCACATCACTTACACCACATTCTAGTGGTCAAAGCAGTCACCAGACTATCCTAGATTCAACAGGGAGAGAAATAAACTCAGCCTCTTGATGAGACAATGGCAAGGTCACATTGAGAAAGCGATTGTGGAGTGGAGATAATCGTTGCAGCTGCCAATGCAAGTGTGGGCCACATCAGGATCGTAATAGAATTTACCTCATAATGTCATTGAGATGATTGATAATGTATGTCAAGCCCTCAGCACAGTGCCTGGCACTTAGTGAGCAGTCAATAAATGCCATCTATTATTAATTATCATATAAAATTGCTATACTAACTACTAGAATAGTAACTCCAAGTTGGCATCACCAGCCGCCTGGTCACCTCACTTAAACCCATTTTCCTAACTATTGGGAAAAAAATGGAAAAAGAATTTACACTGTCAACCAGAAAGCTTCAGAGTAGTGACATTCTTTCTATGCCCATGGCCCAGAACAGGCTGCCTCTGTTCCCTGCTGGTTCTGGTAGATTACTGTTCTGGTCACGGGGCCTTGCAGCCACGGTGAGGAGCACAGACTGGGACAAAATAGGTAACAAACTCTCCTACAGTTTTCAGATACAGGAAGTTCATCCAGCCATTCCTGTTATTCTCAGTCAGAGTGATCTGTGCACACAAAAGGCCCCCACAGCTTATATAAACTTCAGACGGCCAAGCTGGCGAGACTTTCGGCCCCCTTTGCCAATAAGGCACTATTTGCATTGGAAGCTAGGCACGAATAATGGTGCTTGAGACCTGCTGAACTCTGTGTCCAGTCAACTCAAATCAGGAATGGAATTCAAGGCCAGAAGTCACAGAAGGTCACTATTTTACTTTCTGGAGGGTTTTGCAATTCTAGAAAGTCCCTTCAAATCTCCAGAGACCTGCAGAATAACCGTGCTTCTGTGACCTCAGTTTGTTTGCTGGTGCTGTCTGTATGGCTGACCAAGCCCGTGTGCTGCCTGCAGCAGTAGCCTGGTCATAGTCACTCAAGCTCAAGCATCTCCGGGAGAACCAGGCATTCTCTTTCTGCCAGAGTGTCAGGGACTTAGGTAGGGAAGCTGGATTTGGACTTTAAGGTTAAGATGGAAGACACATATAACCTTTGGCTGGGGTTCCAGCGAATACCCTGTTGGCAGTGGGTCCTAAGTCACCAAGAAAAAACCTCAGGCCACATGAAGAACTCATCTAGAAGATAGAGAAAAACTACAGACAGATCCAACCATGATTCTGTGAAGCGTGTTCCCAAGTCACAGATGTTACAAATCCAATGTCAACAATAACTAGTCACAAATTAAGTACTTTCATATATAAACAAAGAAAGAAAACCCAGGGAGGTTGGAACAAATGATGCTCAAAGTCAAGGTGGCCATTTCTGCATCCTCACTGCTATAGAAAGGTTTTCAGATTCTATTAAATAATAATCCTAGACCAGACACTGATCTAGATTTATTCTCTAGTGATCACATTTTGCCTCTTACAAATATGCCTCAGGTAGATGAGAATCTGACTCAACATTCTCATATCCTGTGGAATTAGGAAGATTTAAATAAGGTAATATGGTGATACCTGCTAACAGCAGTCATGATTTAAGATGGTGTCATGACAAAAAATTTTCTATTTCATCCACAGTGGTCATAAGGGTGTAAAAAATCTCCTCCTGGAGGGCAGGGTACAGAATCCTGTTTCATCAAAATTTAATTCAATCCAATTTAGAAAGTTTTTTTGTGTGTGTTATATTAAAAAGCCAGATGCTAAAGGATAGGTGAACCATAAATGAAACTATTAGAAAATGTTAAACACAGACATAGCTTTTTAAAGGGGTTTATTGATCAGCTCTGTAGTCTTCAGGACATGGTGCATGGGAAGATGAGAAGAACGAAGTTTCCAGTCTAATGGGGAGACACAGGTATTGCAATAAGTGTAACCATAATACAAGTGCTATCATCCAGGGCAACCTACACATACCAAGAACCTATTCTGTGCCAGGCCCTGACTTGTGTGCTGGGACTACAGAGACTTGGTTCCTTCCAAGTCTCACCATCTGGTGGAAGAGACATGCCCATAAGCAAGCTTAGCCCACTGTGGTGAGTTTAAGAGCACGCATGAGCTTGGGGAGCCATGGAAATACAGAGGGTCTCCTAACCCAGCTTGGTGATGGTAGCAGCAGAGGAGTTTCAAGGACGGCTTCCTGGGGCAGGCTACCTCTGAGCTTGGACTTGGGGATGAGTAGGAGTGAGTGAGGTGAGGATGCTGGAGGGAATGGAGGAGCATGGTGCAGGTGGAGGAAAAAACACAGACCAAATAAACTCCAAGACTGGAAGTGTTGGTGCTGCCGTAGGGTGGGGATAAAGATGGAAAGATACTGGGCCAGCTGTGTGCGCCGTATTAGGGGCCCTGGGGAGCCATCAATGGAGTTTAAGCAGAGGAGATACAGGCCCAGGTTTAGGCTTTCGACAGAGCACTGTGGCTATTTGTGTGTGGAACTCAGGAAGAGGAGGAACTAGAGGTGGGGAGATGAGCTAAGAGGCCACTGAGGGTACCACAGGTGAGAGGTGACAAGCTTCCAATCCCAGGCCATGGTGGCTGCATAATGTGAAAACTTCTCAAGAGATACAAGAAGCAGGACTCATAATATACAGGAAGCCGTGATGGGTGCATTTGGAAGAAGAGAACGAAGGAAAGCAGGAACACATCTTTCCCCAGTTTCTAGCTCACATGGGTTCACCAGTTGAAGCTTAGACTAGGAGGAGCCAGCAGGTTCAGGAGGCAGCCAGCGGCTTCATTTTGGACACCTTGATGTGAGGTCTGAGTATATATTTCCAGTAAGAGGTTCAGTGGCAGGTCCATAGCTACTGAAGGAAAGATTGGTGGTGGAATTACCAATGCAGGACGTGGCCTGGAGACGACTGTTCAAATCATGAGTATGATGGAGACCAACACAGACCCAGGATGCACTGCTCGGAAAAAAAACAGGCTCAGGGTGGGCACTGGGGGGCCCACATGAGAGGACGGCAGAGGAAAAGGGATAGGCAAAAATGTGCTACTAAAACACCAAAGGGGAAAACGCTGAGTATATAAAGGCCAGAGACATTCATTCTAACAACAGTGATCTGGGAAAGAATGCTGGAGGAGATTCTAGCCAAATGATGGATGGGGTTTCCGCAGCACAGGGAGAAGGTGTCCCCCGGGGAGTGAAAAAATCAGAAGAAAAAGCCCCGGAGAACAAGATTTCTTTGAAGAAACACCTGCAAGCTGCCTCCCATTTGTCTTTCTCAATCCCTCTCCCTCTTGCTCCACTCCTCTCTCTTCTCACACCCCCTTTCTTTTCTCCCTCCCTCTCTCCTTCTCTTTTTCGCCTCCCTCACCCTCTCTCCCATCAAAAAGATCATTCAATCAGACTAATCTACAGTCTGACCTGAGTGGAATTCCTTATTTTTCCCACGGAGCCACTAAGAAGAATAACCCCCGTCAGTCTCCATAACTGGCAAGGTCCCTGCCACAGGGGAATAGTCCAGGCTACCACCAGCCCCTGCCACTGCTCTGCACACCTCTCTCTTCAAGGGCCCGGCCTGTCGTCCTCGGGTTTGGACCAGGTTCGCTCTTTTGCAGAAACGAGGCCTGGAGAACACCTTGCACGATGCCAAGCACTGGCATGACATGGAGCTCCAGAACCTGGGCGCTGTGGTCGGCCGGCTGGAGGCGGAGCTCAGCGAGATCCGCGCGGAGGCGGAGCAGCAGCAACAGGAGCGCGCGCATCTGCTGGCCCGCAAGTGCCAGCTGCAGAAGGACGTGGCGTCCTACCACGCCCTGCTGGACAGGGAGGAGAGCGGGTAAGCCTCGCTTCTGCGTCAATTATCCAAGGGATGCATATTCATGGCTTTAAAAATAATTATTTTCCAAACACTGTAGAAGTATTTAAGAAATCACCCCAGACTTCCACTCACATAGGCACCCATTCCCACAGCCTAGCTGTGTCCTTCCTTTCCTATCCACATACAAATTATATATATAATATATATTCACATACTAATACATTTTTATATGTATGCATATTTATGTATGTATGTATATATACACACGTATGTGTACATATATACACACACATTCACACACATGTGTATACCTAGGATGTACATAATAGCTGTTAGCAATATTTCAGTTATTTGTAATAGAACCTAATTAATGAGGCTATAAACCAGTGCTCCTAAAACTAATGTGCACTCAAAACCCTGGGCATCTTTTTTTTTTGGGGGGGGTGGTGGTGCGGGGATACAGGGTCTCGTCTCGCTGTGTTGCCCAGGCTGGTCTCGACTCAAACCCCTGGGCTCAAGTGATCCTCTCACCTAAGCCTCCAGAATAGCTGGGATTACAGGTGTGAGCCGTGACACCCCAGCTGGGCATCTTTTTAAAATGCAGATTCTGCTTCAGTACATCTCCGGTGGGGTCTGAGAGTCTTCACTTCTAACAAGCTCCCAGGGGGTGACTATACTGCTGCTCCACAGACCACACTCTGACTAGCAAAGATGTGTAAACCATTTATTTAAGAGTCCCAGAAATAGATGATCTAGGCTGTTCAAAGATTTTGGTAAGGACTCAAGCTTTTTTCATCTTTCTAACATACCATGATAACATTGGCTTTTTATCTTTGTTACCACATGCCAGCCACAGATCCAAATATCACATCCTCGGCCGGGCGCGGTGGCTTAAGCCTGTAATCCCAGCACTTTGGGAGGCCGAGATGGGCGGATCACGAGGTCAGGAGATCGCGACCATCCTGGCTAACACGGTGAAACCCCGTCTCTACTTAAAAAAATACAAAAAACTAACCGGGCGAGGTGACGGGCGCCTGTAGTCCCAGCTACTCCGGAGGCTGAGGCAGGAGATAGCGTGAACCCGGGAGGCGGAGCTTGCAGTGAGCTGAGATCCGGCCACTGCAGTCCAGCCTGGGCAACAGAGCGAGACTCCGTCTCAAAAAAAAAAAAAAAAATCACATCCTCATTCATGGCCAGAAGTGGGAGAGAAGAGGCAGCAGCCAAAAAAAAAAAAAAAAAAAAAAAGGCTTTTTCTTGAGTGGCCCTCTCCTTTAACCAGTGAAGGAAAGACATTTGGAGGCTTGCAGTGGACTGTCCCTTATATCTCATAGACCAGAACCTGCTTATACTGGCCATATCCATCTGCAAGGGAGGCTGAGAAAGCAACTCTTTAGCTTTTCCAGACTCCATAGTGGAGGCAGGCAAGGGGTTGGGAATAGCAGTTGAGTTAGTCTGCCATAATTACAGACACACACTTGCACTCACTCTTTTTTTAATAGATAAGGATTCTGGAGGCATGTACATCAGCCTTGGGCCTTAGTTGCCTTGCCAACTCTTTCCAGAAACCCAGGCCCTGATTTTGTATCATAGTTCTCTGCCTTCTTATTTCCCTCCAAGGCCCCTTCTCTGACATATGTTGAGTAAGGAATAGAGACAGCTTGGTGATCGTATCATTCAATCCCTCCTGATTCAAGAGAGAACACAAAGACCCAGAACGGAAAAAGATTTGCGCATGATCACACAGGAGGCGGAGACAGCACTGGGACGGGAGCCCAGGTCTCCTGCTCTCTCCAACAGTGTAACCTCTCTTTATTCAGCAGGCGGGAGAGACTCAAGGAAGCGACCTAACCACGCCCTGCTTTCAAATGGAAAATATGTCATCCAGCTCCTCTCCAACTGTCTTTTATTGAATTGATTTTTGTTGATTATAAAAGCCAGATGTTCCTAATTTTTTTCAGATGCCTATGAGCATCTGAATAAACACACGAAGTCGGTTTAAACAAACACCAAGAGCAGTGAGTTAGGTTGAGTTACTTCGTAAGAATCTATGTGCTACATTCATTTAGTGAGTGCCAGCGCAGACCTGACTCTTGATTATTTTCGTTTATCCCCCAAACCCTGACAAAACAACATCGTGATCCCTCTTTTACAGACAGGAAACAAAGCCTCAGAGAGCTTAAGTCATGGCCTAAGGTCTCACAGCAAATAACCATGGAGTAATGATTTAAAATCCAAAACTGTCTTGTTCCGAAGGCCAGATGCTTTCATGAGACAGCCCCCTTTCTCGTAATCCTATTGTGATAGAATGACCCATTTTCCTCGCTCATTGCTTCTGATTCCTATGTGTTTCCTTTCAGCTGATGGAGAAACTTCCTCTTTTCATGAAGAAAACACCCTTCCTCACCGGCTGACCCGTGAAGTTGCTTGAGGAGCTTTCTCCTGAGTTCCAGTCCCTGCTGGATTCCCTGGTTAATTCAGCTTGAGCTGAAAAGCTTCCCGGAAGTGGAGAGGGTCCTTCTGCTTTAATCTGAGTAGTCTGTAGCTTGAGCAGCCTCCCTTGTCCTCCTTCAAATAAATGCTTTGTGCGCAGCGTCCAGTTTGCCCACCTTGTTCAACTCACTATAGGTTCAAGATGGATATCACTTTACCTGCCTGGCCTTTGCTCGCAGAGCTATGCTTGAAGGCTTCTGGAAGGATTCCCTTGAGTGTGACGCCATCTGCCTCCCTAGGGTCACCTGCTCTCGGGTTTGTCAACATAAAAGTGCTGCGGAGGCAAAAGCAGTGCTCATGGCATGCAGGATTGCCGCGGTCTGGGACAAAAAACAACGCTCTTGCTCAAGAAGGGATTAATGTGGTGCTTTATTGCATGTTTCATAATTACAGGCATCATGGAGCATTCAGACTTCTTCAATATACTCTGCATGCATATTCATGTGCAGACACACACATTTCACTTGCTATTGGCAGAGCACCTCTCAATCAGTTAAAAGGAAACTTCAGTCTCAGCCCAATCTAAACCCATTCAATCTAAGTGGGGGATTAATTACACTGTGGTTGCTCACCCTACTTACAGCCTTAGAATTTTCTTCCAGGGTCCTTTCCCCAGTTCTCTCAGGGCCTAAGCCGGCCAAATATAGTTCATGCATCTGCCACCTACCCAGCCAAGACTCTCTTGCCTTCTGATTAAAATTGAAACCACCACCTGTGTCCTACCACAGGTTCTCAGTGTCTCTAAAACTGAAAGGAAAAAAAAAACAACCAAAAAAAAAAAAAAAAAAACACCCAACCTTAATTTCATCATTCTTCCCTCAAACTTCTGTCGGTCTACCTATCACACAGAATTACGGACCAAAATATCCAAGCTGAGTCTTTGTGTTTCTGAGCTGCTAATCCAGACAGGGGGGTGTATCCAACACGGGTACATTTGAAAACCCCCATACCTGAGGGTCCGAATAGCTAAGGCCCACACAAACAAAAGAACATTTATTTATCCTTAAGGATTGCTTATAAATATCCTTAAGAAGCAAGGTGGCTGGGCGTGGTGGCTCATGCCTGTAATCCCAGCACTTTGGGAGGCCAAGGTGGGCAGATCACAAGGTCAGGAGTTTCAGACCAGCCTGGCCAATATGGTGAAACCCCATCTCTACTAAAAATACGGAAATTAGCCAGGCTTGGGCGGCTGGCACCTGTAGTCCCAGCTACTCAGGAGGCTGAAGCAGGAGAATTGCTTGAACCCTGGAGGCAGAGGTTGCAGTGAGCCGAGATTGCACCACTGCACTCCAGCCTAGTCTACAGAGCAAGACTGTCTCAGAAAAAAAAGGCAAGATATGTGGTATCCTTGTTGGAATTGCTACAACTGGTTTTCCTTTTTGGCCTGCAGGAGCAAAGGAATTGTGTTAAAGATCACATGAGCAGAACAGCTATTTACAATGTGCATAGCACCTTGACATAGGTCAGTTTGTTATTCGAGACATGGAAATAGGCAAAACACCCTAAAACTACATTTTAGCAAAGTATCCATCTCCTCCATAACTGCACACTATGGGGCTGCCCATAATTGAACCACCTGGATACAAGAGTCCTGCCAGAAAACAGTGTGTGGCTGGCCTTGCTATGTTGGATGCACAAGACACTGAGGTCTGTTTCTTTGCTTGCTTTCTTGTTACTTTTAATTTTTGGCCCCTCAGGCAAGACCTAAATTCCTAACCTAAAGGTAGCTAGAGGCTTCAAAGGTGAGAGTCCCCGAAAGGTCAGCTATCAAAGGGGGGTACTTCTATGACTGAATGGCCATGCAGTTTTTAGAACCTGGAGGTCGTTTCGGCCGCTGGAAAGCGGGGAGAAGGAATCTGCGCATACTCCTCAGTTTCCACCAGACAGCACACTGTGCAGGGTTGCACACGCTCGGTCTCCTCCACACCATCATCTCAAAGAGCAGCTGCTGTAAATCATTCAGTTAATCACCCTTTGGCAGGGAGAGCCGTGGCAGACTGGTGCTTCCAGTTCCCAGCACAGGCTCTTGCTGTTTCTAATGAGGCTTCATTAACAGGTATGAGAAGGCGCTGCTGGGCCCCCAACTCTGCCAGGGCCTTGTTTAAATCAGGCTTCCTCTCACGACATCCCGGTACAATTATGCTTTGGCAGTGGTTCACTGACAGGTGCCAGGGGAGGCTGCTGCTTGTATTGGTGTCAAGGACAGAGCATTTGTTCTGGAGCAGACCACAGCAGGGCTCCCAATAGACACCTCCTGAAACACAACTGAGCTCTATTTCCACACCAGGCAACTCCACTGGCCTCTGGCCTAGCTTCTAGAAGGCTGGTTAACTCCCAATGGGATTGCTAGAGTATCCATTGGCTTTCAGATTCAACGTTCTTTTATATCAAGATCCTTAAATCTTACCTTCATGATCATCTGTAACACTTCTTAGCATGTACTGGTGCCCAGACATTTTGGTGCATTTTGGGGATACCAATAAAAAGAAGACCCAGTTTCTGCCCTCATGGGTTTACAGCCTTGGTGAGTGCAGGTGTGCTCCCTGGAGGATCAACAAT